CCCCGCCACTTGAAATCGAGTACACAGTCACGTGATATACATATGCAAATGAGCTGTCAGAATTCCCCAATAAGCAGGCATTCCCTCATGATATATGTTTTGTTCCTCAGAAGTGCGTGACTTAAATTATTGCCAATAAACTGATAAAATGTAAGTGTTTTTACGAAATGAATTTTGTATTTTTAAGGTGAAGCTTTTTTGATTAATAAATCAAGAAAATTTAGCTTTTATGATTATTGTCGTGGAGTTCGTTTACAAATGAAAGTAGCGCTCATTCGCAACAACAACAGAGGCATTTATGAGGCGTCCAAATATAAATATTTTTCAGGAGTGTTTGCGCTTTTTGTGTAACAGGCGTGTGAATAAATCTGAACAATGTTGAAATCATTTCATGGTTCTAACATACCCATTTAATAATTCCGTGTTAATATGAAATTAGACATCATTGACTAAATGGTCGTGTCAGAGTTGGAGGAAATAAAAGAGAATTTGAAGCACTTAATGAATAAGTACAAATACTTCAAACGACTTCACGCTGCCATGTATCAGCTTAGACCTCAACCATTCCCAATATTTACACTGACAATTGACAATATTTTAGAAATTGACGACAAAACAACTGTATGAGAACATTTACAGTTTTAGTAGTGTCATATCCAGAAAATACAAAAGCCTAGTTTAAATTTCATTGTGTAAATACAGTACGTATTAGTTCTTGTAGGAAGTACAGTACTAACTGTTCATTTAAATGTGAAATTTGACTTTCTATCATATTTTATATTAATTGTTGGCGGATTAGTTTTAGTTAATCCGTCAATTTAATCTCTAAGAAATCGAGGTTTTCTGAGGCAACCCCTAAAGCATTTTCAAGCTTTGTTCTGGGTTGAATTAAAATTTTCTAGTGTTGTGTCTACCAGGATCATCTCTTTGTTAATGCTAATTCATACAGACTGTATTCATGAACAGCCTTTTCTATTTTTAGGTTTGACGATATTTACTTCAGGTGAGGTTTCGAATTCCATTATTGCAGTTTGATGTTCATTATGGTGTATATTGTAGGTCTTAAAGGTGCAATTGCAAGTTTTGTGTTCATGAAGTTGATTATATGTTAAATCAGGTCGTATTCGCCATGCATCAAGTATTATTTTCCTCTAGAACAGAAAAATAAAATGGCATGCTTGGAAGCGTCTGTTTTCATCACTTTTTCTTTTCAAGTATAGGCCCAGTGAGCCTATATAATGTGGCGAATGAAAATTTGTTTTCACTGGAGGCTACCAAATCTTATAAAGCCACAATAGGATTATTTCACTTATAAATATTATGAGACATGAATGCAAATGCATTATTGTTTTCCAGATTTTCACACCCTTTTCTTGGTCTTTATAAACTTTTAGATGTGTTTACTCATTCCCGGAATGACTTGAATGTAATTGACATATCGGTTGCGATCAGCATACTTAAACGTGCAAGCATTTGCAAATTATTGACCAATAACACGACATAGCTGAATAAAAATAAAAGAAATTGCTAATAAAAAGAGAATAGAATAAATGATTGAGTAAAGATGTTTTACCGGAAATTCTACAAATTTACGTCATAAGTCAAAAAGATTTTGATTGGTTGTAGTTTGAATTATGCATTTTTTATGACTGAATGGTACGTCTAGTATTTTGGTATTTCAAGCAATATTGTCAGTCGACCAGGTTGGTTTTTGATTCATATATTTTAAATAACATATTATTTAAAAGATGTCACCAGCAGCAGGGGGAAAGTAAAAGAACCAGCCCTGAAAATTAAAGACACTAATTGAGGCATGGAATTAAGTGATTAATGATTTAAATTTGATCATCGGTGATCATTGCGAGGATGAAATGGTTTACCAAAAATCGGCAGCCCAAGACGCTGTATTTACGGATTCGTTTTATTGATATACGAGTATTTTGGTTTGGCGTGGTAAAAGCGAGGTAAAAATTTCTTGATATCCTGTTTTGGGAACACTGCTGAAAATTCAAAATTTTAAAACGATCCATCGGCCGGCGCCCGGCCGATTGAGTGTTTTGTTCAATATTGTATTCAATTTTGAACAAAATACTTAATCGGCCGGGCGCCGTAGTGAAAATCGGAGCAAATGTGACCAAGGGGGCATAACGGCGGATGTTCTTTCATCGTTCATTCTTGTCAAACAGCTAGTAAATCCCGTACGCACTAGACATTAATGACATCTATTTAAGGGATCGAACAGTAAAACCAGTTTGACAACTTTTGTCTCTCCATTCCCATTCCCCAGTCAGATGTCTACAATCTTCCAGATATACGCATCCTCCAAGAGCTGGCTTCACTGACATACGCGTGTGGAAGCCCAAGTGCTCTGGGATACCCGTTACCTGTGTTCTCTGGCCCAACTTTTCTGACAACCCACGGGCTCCGAATTCACTTGTTTAAATCAGGTTAACACGTTGGCTTCAAAATGTTGGACATTTTTGAAAATTCGGACCCATTTAAAATAAATTAGGCTCATGTCTTAAAAAAAGCCAATATCTCCAAAAGTGAGGTATCTTCCTGAAATTTAGACCCAACCTAAATATTGATATACTCTGTTTAAATACTATATTGCTCAGGAGTATTCCAAGGTGCAAAAATCTAACACTCGGGGATCTAACAATCCTCAACCCAATTAAATTAAATTATATAAATAAATTGAAGACATTTTGTGCAGGCAGCCACATACATGTATGATTATATGTGATTTAACTAACTCAATTCCTACAGTCATCTCTGGAAGAATGATTTTAAATTGAAAAGCAACGTAACGAGTGAATTTGATAAAATGAGTAAACCCAAAACATTCTGGTCAGAATACTTCGGCAAGAGTCGGAATACTTACGCAGCCAAGAATAGTTGGAGCTTCACATAGGCAGCTATGACGGAAAGTTTTAGATCACAATGTTCACTATTTTTTCGTAGAAATATAATAAAAAAAACTCAATGCAATTACCAGTCGAGCGATTGGGTTCAGATGTTTTATGCTGATGCATTTGATCATTTTCTAAAGTGTGTATCGCGAAGACAAAACAGGCTGTACAATGTAGATTCGCATATAGTATTAACGTCATTTTCCACTGAATAAAGTTCGTGTAGGGATAAAAGAACACATCTATATATCTATCCAAGAAATCTGATGGGCTGTTTTGCAAAATAGTGAATTGTTTTCAAATGGACACCACATTTCTTGGCATTTTTCATAACTTCAGTAAAATTTGCATTAGCTATGACATGGGAATGTCGATTTTCAATTATCATCAATTTTCGACCTATTGTAACTGAGGAAAAGACTTAGAAAATTTGGAGATATTGGCAATAAAGCCAAGTTACGTTTTCATCAATATTATAAGAATTTTCATCGCAGGGTAAGTAATGAAAATTCGAAAATAAAGAGGTTTTAACACGTAGTTCAATGGGGGAGCTAAGGTTGCCAAACTTATAGAGGGGAGTGTAATTTTAGATACAGATACCAATAAAATAAATAAATAAACCTGACAACAAGACAAGCTTTTCCCAAAGACTCTGATTAACAGATACCAACACCTGATATCTGGCATTAATATGTTGAAGGCATATTGATTTCAAATTATCAGGGATGTTTCTTTTATAAAAAATCTCGAACAGAATCGAATTTGGGCATTTTTGAAAACTGTTAAAACTAAGACTAGCTAAGACTGCTATTTTGGATTTCCTTCCTTAAATCTCAGCGAGCAAAAAGGAGAAAGGACCAATGGTCTGATGGTGTGGATTACCAGAATTGACATACAAAATGGATATGAGGATTTCTTCAGACAGCAGCCAGTTTTCATGTGTCGGTAAATTGGAATAGATAGACGCAATTCCGAATGTGAAAAAATTATTTCAATACAAAAAAAATAAACACTTTTGGTCACTTTGTAGGCATTGCTGGTTTAGTCTTTTAAAATCTATTAGTGTGTAAATTCAATGCAACGATGTTGAAAAATAAGCCTGGGTTGATGCATTTTTGTTTAACAATGGATTGTAAATTGCAGCAAATTTATTAGATGCCTTTCTAATCTCCAATGGAGATTTTCAATAAACCCTGCCACATATTGGTTGGTACATCAGAGAAACAACGATTCAGTGGTTACATTGATGATATCTCTGGTTGTACTTATTCAAAATTTGCCGATTTTAGCGGGAACGGACACATTGCTAACTACAACCTATGACATCATCAAGCTAGCCAATATATCCGAGCTTCTTTCATCAAAAGGCGCAGGGTTATAGGAAAGGTCTATTTTGTACAAGACCGCTAATTCATACCTGTGTCAATGACTAGTGTATGGCTAGTTGCTATTACAATGTGTCACCAATTCTTGAGGTGCTGTATATTAGTAGTGAACATATAAAACTAAAAAGCACCAAAATTGTCGCCCAATTTTGCTTTATTGCGATGAACAATTTAGCCAGTCAACCTATCGAGGATTTTGACTTCATAATATCTCAACAAAATGCTACATACCACAAGACCATTAATTTGGAAAACCAGTATGAATAACCACAACTCCAAGAATTCCGATTTCCAGAGTCCTTCTTATCTGAATAACGTAAATATTTCAAGAAATCTGTAGAGGCTGCATTTCTGATATTCATTATAATTTTCCGTTTTCAATGGTCAGCTGGAATTATTTCTAGACGGGAACTGATACATGGCAACGGGTCGTGATTTCTTAAGACACTGTATGAATTAAGGGAAAAAACAATTGTTTTCGTATGAGGATAGTTATCGCCATCCATTTATCCCAAACGTCTAGGAAGGGGGTTCTACAACTTACCAGAGCATATACACAATGTTATACTAGCAGACTATGAGCGGTATTCAGCGAAAATAAACATACGTATATGTGTATTGTGGGAATTTAAATCAACAAATTACAATGGCAAATATCTTGTTTTACCAATTGTAAACTAGTGGTCCTTTGTACAGAATTATTACGGTATTTTGTTAGCTATTGCTCAGTATTTACTGGACAAAATTTGGTTAAGAAACCCTGTATTGAATGCGAACTAAGTTAGCATCTAATTGTGTAATCTCTGATTGAGTTAGGGAAATACAGATTCATCATAACTTACTTACGGAAGTAAGGTCCATCTGCCAGTTGGATTAACGGATTATGAGATTTTCTTAAACCATTGGATCATATATAATCGAGGTAATTTTTATGATTCTATTCCAACTTTATTTTTCTTTATTTTACAGTTTTAACTCTAGATCTCATTTTCTTAGAATTCAGTAAACACGAGATAAAATATGTCCCCATAGTGATTAGGGTCCTCATTGTATATTTCCTGACCTGCATAGACTTATGGAAATATGTTGCAATAAATCCGTTAGGTCACCGTATAAAACAATAAAACAATCAAGGAAGACATTTATTAATTCAAGCGAAATTAATATAAAATCAATTTCAACAAATGTTAATGCCAGCTTTTCGACTTCTGTATTAATTTATAAGACATGCAACTGATCAATATTCAATCTTTCAGACGGATTGATTGATGCCAGTGAAACCTATTCAGAAATGCAGTTACATAGGCCTATGTATGTGGAAGCTTTAACACTGATACTTTTCCTACAAGGTAGGCATGTAAATGTGTAAGGGCGTTCAATGAGATCATGCAAAATGCTTTTTCAGAATTCAATATCTTTAATGAATTTTTAACAATTAAATGGAATAACTTTCTCTGTTATGATGAAATGTTCTTGTATTTTGCGTACAATAGTGCTCAATGCGTGAAACGCATCCCATATAATGTATAATATAACAACAACTATTTTGCAGTTTAAGGAAAATTTGCGTCTTTAAGAAGCATACTATACAATTGTAAAAATTGTCCAAAACATGAAATTCAATTTTCCGAATTCATCATTTCTGCCCTTGACATTAATTGAGACATTGTTGAACTGATTTCGTACACATTGTAAATAGGACATCATATGTAATCTACGCATGTAGCCCATTCCATTGTTTCGCGCATGGAATACCATCATACATATAACTGAGAAAGACACTTTAAAATGAGCGGACTACATCTTTGAAGTCATTCAGGTATTAGCCTATTGACATCCAATAACTATGAAGCGTACATTATTTTCAAAATAGTTTGCCATCATATTTTCAAAAGCTTTGCATTTTGGTTAGATGATGTTTTGAAGGCTGTCAAAATCATGTTCAAAAATAGCTGACCATGTGGATTTTTATGAAATCACGTGCTTCATCATAACATCATCTTTAGATATAATATTGCGACTATCAATGGTTCGTTGATTTGTAACTACAATGTAGGAGATGCAGCAATTTTGGGTTGTTGGTCAGTTCATTAGTGCTAATTTACAATAAGGTCTCCCAATTCTTTCATATAACTTTACATCTATTATTGCGCAAATCCCCAATAATGTAATCAACCAAGAATTTCAGGACACGACCAACAGGGTATGAAAGGTTGGCAGACATACATGTCATTCGCGTTTGGTGTTAAAATACCCCAGTGGAATTACCCCATATCAGCTTTTGGTTTTATGGTTGGTTTTTTTTGGTTGAAGTTTATCTCGAGTCAAAGTGGATTCCGATTAAGTCTGATTTTGTTTCGATCATCTTTGTATTTGTGTCCCTTATTACACAAAGAGAGTGCGATGAACAATTATTTAGTATATAACCGGGACAATCGGAGTTCCACCATTGCCCTTATTCTCCAATGTTCACTGAACGCTAATATTTTAGTAACGTTCGTATTAATAACGTATTATGATACTCTTAGACAATCTGACATGGACATTGATCTTCTTATCTCAGCGATATAGCAAAACATGCCTTACCAGCTCTGGATTTACTATCGGATACCTAAATCCAGACGTTTCGAGTTCTGAGATATTTCTTGTGAATTCCAGCCTATAGTAAAGAATTTGAGGAATATGTAACAGTTTCAGGAATTTTCTATCAAAGGATTGAAATGTTCTCATGTTCTGTCATACATGTGTTAAATTGATCTTAAACATCACATGGTTTACGTATTTGGTACCCAGATTATATAACTGAACCGATACGATGAGTTCTATAAGATTAAGGTGATAGCAAAGACCCAGAACTAAATATGGTAGGAGTGAAGGCTAATGTTGGAAGCAATGATTTCACAGATCATACCAAGTAAAATCATTTTCTGAAAAAGTGTATTGATTGAAGAATTAAGATGCAGAAGATAATTTGGTTGAGAATGAAACAGGCGATACATTTCTTACTATTTACGTCGCAAAAACAAAATCATGAAATATTCAATTTATTTTCAAAGGAATTAAGTTAAAAGTACAAAAATATTTCCGTTTGAGCTTTATTCTGAGATTGTTTTTTTTTATTTTATTTTTTTTATATAAATAAATCTTTATTTTCACATATTATTTTTTACAGGTTATTAATGTTGTTTACTGTAGGAGAGAGAGAGAGAGAAAGGAAGATTGATGATTTTTGTCACATTGTATAAATTGATGATATTAACGCAAAAGTCTGCTACAGATATTCCATAGTGTCTCATGTTGTTCCATTTTGTTGTTTTTCTTCGCTATGTATTTTTCTTCTTCTTTTTGACTCTGGAGGTATATTTTAAAAGGACCTAGTTCTGGTCTTTTGTCTCCTAATTTTCTTAAGTATATGAAATGTTTCATATGGATCAGTAGCTTATTTTGTTGTCTTTTTTCTCTACTGTATCCCAAAATAATGTCTTTATTTTCTGGTATGTTTTCACCAGCTTCCTCATAGCACGTTCTCAAGAAGTCCTTTGTGGCTGTACATTCTAGGAATCCATGTTCGATGCTATCTATATGGTTCTCATTACATATTGTACACATTGGCGTGTTTTTTCCCTCTATATTCATTTTGTTCAGCATTTTATTGAAGTAAATTGTTCTGTGTAATAATCTGAACTGGAAGTATCTAAGTTTCGCATTTTCTGTTATCACTTTATAAGTGGTGTATATTTCATCCCATTCTTTAAAGTTATCCTCATTTACATTTAGCACCCTAAGCCACTTGTCTTGTGCTTTTATTGGTTGTATTTTTATCTGTCTTTTAAACATCCTATAAGTGCTTTTATTTGAGATGTTTGGCAATTGTTCTCTGAGTGGCTTCCAGTTTGTACAAATTTCTCCCCCTTCCACCATTTTTTGTCTCCATGATAATGGTATACATAGTACAATTTTGTTATAGTCTAGGAATGTTTGATGAGCTAAATTATACTTGGTTTCCAGTTCTTGGAATCTTAATAATTTGTTCTCTTTATATAACTGATGTATATGCTGAGATTGTGGTATTCAAACTCTATACTACTATCAAAGCTCACATGAATTCCACAAAATTTTGCAATTTTAAGTAATAAACTGGCATAACTGTTGTTTTCAAAAACATGAAAACATCATTGCTCATCCAATTCATTCAAAATGGCTGTTGTACTTTTAGGTTGTGTTTGTAACCCGGATGCAAAAAGACTTTACGATGATTTACTTAGTGGCTACAACAAGCTTGTCCGACCAGTGTTGAACAATTCAAATACGTTAACGGTGGAACTTGGCCTTAGACTCTCACAAGTCATTGATATTGTAAGTGAAGATTAGATCCAGGTTTATATCATGTAAAATGTTCTACCAATGAAATATTTGAAGTTTGAAATTTCTTGATATATCGAGATGGGTAAATTTAGCTGTATATGGCAAAGGATAGATATCGATATGGTGAACTGAATTCAAAAATGTTTTTCTCTTAAACCAATCATTGAAAATATTCTGTAAGAAACACGGTATTTTATGTAATGTTGTCTGATTAACAACAATTTAATGCGAATTTTTAGATTTTTTTATGACTGGTTTGAGAGAAACGTGTGTTCAAAAAGTTCACCATATCGATACCACTCCTTTATCTTCACCATTTGTGCAGGCTTATTTATGCTAACATCATGCGCAAGTATATGCTTAAAAGTCGTTCCACTCTGCCTTATACCTCATCAACTTGTCAATGCATCCTGTCTTTTAGACCCACGGGTCACGATAAAGAGATTTGTAGAACTGATAATTTAACCATTTTCTTACAGGACGAGAAGAACCAGATTATGACAACTAATGTTTGGCTTACACAGGTAAGAGAAAAATATTTTTGAAAGCGGATGAGATTACAACTCTTTTTTCTTCCGAAAGAGAAAAAAGTCCCACACGATAGGGGTCCAACACCATGTATAATTTATGTAAAAGGGGATGGTGTCTCCAGTGCTCATCGTCCCCCTCTCAATTGAATTGATAGCTATTGGTGTTTATATCTAAAAATAGGGTATTAATAATAGTAGGGATCAAATAATGCAGGATCAGCGATATGTGCTTCACCAGGGCAGTCCCTGTGAAATATAGTCTCATCCCTGTCAATTTCTTAATTGAGCCATTTAGCGCCATACAGAAAGAGGACCACAATCCATCGAATTTCAAAAAATGATTGTGCATTTGATATTGTAGGAATGGTATGACTACAAACTCCGCTGGGATCCAGTAGAATATGGTGGAGTGGACAGATTGTATGTGCCTTCTACAGAGATATGGCTGCCAGATATCGTTCTGTACAACAAGTAAGTGTTCGGGTTATACACGGCCCATTGAAATACGTTCATTGGTTTATTTTCATACTTACCTAGTCACGGTGTTATAGCATGACGGATACGCCACCTCTGAAAACGAGGTTAGTCGAATACGATCACTGATTTATCCAATAAAATGGCCACGATGAAACAGAAAGCTAAGGTAGGTGCATTATTTTCTACTTCTGCGTATCAATAAAAGCATGAAAGATTTATGTAAGCGTCGCATTCGGTGATGCATTCAGTAATGTTTATTTTGAACGTAGTCTTTGCAAATCGACGCCCATGGATAACATGAAATAAGCGAAAAACTGTCGAGTTTGAAATTCAAAACTTCATAAAATTTAGTAATTTGTTTCTTTTCCTCGTTAGGGCATGCTCTACATTGCGCAACAACCTTGGTGTATATAAATGTAACCTACATACGATCATACAAAGCCAATTAAGCATTGTAAACCACTTAATATGTTCTACTCAAGCCATAATAATGTATTTTGAATTTGCGGATACGCCAAAAATTGATAGACAGTTACGCGAACCTCGTTCATATATGTAACACCGAATCATTTCACATCGCTTGTGATCCAAAATTGAAATGTTTTTCAACCGGATTTGAGTTTTGTAAGCTATAATAGATGAAATCGTATTATAACCACCTTGCAGGGCCTGTTCTAGGGGTTTTAGTACTAGTTGAGAAGGCATTTAAATTGCTATATTGACGTGAGCAATATTGTGTCGGGCGTTAATGACTTTAGTCGGGCAATAATGACATTATTCGCCCGGCTATGTTTCCCGGGAAAAGTGATATCGTTCAGTGCGTAAGATGTTCTATTTCAAATTTGATATTTCAGCCCTGGGCATTAACGGTGGTAATAATAGTAATAACGTCATTTCTGCGGGCAAAATAGTGAAATATTGGACCTTGGGCCTGCGGCCCTTGGTCCAATATTTCACTATATTGCCCTTTGAAATGACGTTATTGTACTATTATGAAGATGGTGACATAAACAGCTGAATATGATTTGTGTTTATCATTTCAGTTCCAGTGCGACGTGTGCCTGAAGTCATACACAGCAAAAAACGGATTGAAATTGCATAAATTGCAAACTCATTTAGGACAGCCAAAGTTTGTATGTGAAATTTGTGCCAAAAGATTTTCGAGGAAAATAGATATGGAAAGACACGCACTTGTACACAGTGGGGAAAAGCCACATAAATGTACACAATGCGATAAAGCATTCGCGACCACTGGGAGTCTAACACGCCATTTGAAAGTTTGTAAAAAGTCATCAAAAGATTTCGTTTGTGAGTTCTGTTCCAAAAAATTTAAGGCACACCAATATTTGAAAGAACATTTGATTTTCCACATGGATCCTGAGAAATACATCTGTTCAAGTTGCGGTGAAAGATTTAACTATCGCCAGACTTTACATGCACATATGAAGAAACATTAACATCAATCTGACATTCTTCACATCATATTATACATGTATCATATTTAATGACATGACACATTTATGTTTATTTTATTTTGATATGTTTATTTTATTTACTCATGTTATTCCTGGTAGAACCTGGAAATAAAGTATTTTTATAACATTTTAATCACATCTTTTACTTTCTTCTTTAATATACATTTTTTAAGTACAGAAATGGTCATTCATGAGACAAGTCCGCGTCTTGGTGACAGTGAATTCTAAAGCAATTTAATTTTTGCACGTTTCTCGGGTAAGATTTTTGACTCATCCTTTCTGAAAAACTGCCTGATTGGTAGGCACCCTCTGGTGGGTTTTGTAATGTCCCCTATGCCACAAGGCAGTTCACACATAGAGAGCTATCCAGTATCCATCTAGCGACCTTGACTTGACAGGAACTTGCATGTAACCGTCCGCTAACATCTAATGTAAAACTAATACAATGCGTTGCTGTCCATAAAAAATCATGCAATACATACGTATCTGTCTAACAACCTTGCAATTGAAACCTTATTATCTACAATATTCACCACATTTCTGTTCTGCATTTGTCATTTTATGGCTTGTTTATACACAGTTTACGTACAGTTAGTATTTTGAGTGGCTCTGAGGCACATATACTGAGAAAACACGAAAAAGGACTAAAAATTATGAACTTCGAAACCTCAGCCGGGTAGGTTTACAGCTGATATTCTGCTTCTTGTAGACCACACGACAGATTTAACTCAATCTTTATAACCATTCACATATGCATCACCGAATGGAGCTACTTGAAAAGGAAAGCTTACCTGTGAATCTTGCCTACAGGCGAAAAAGAGGACATGCAGTCTTTCCCGTCCGCCATTTTTTGTTATCGTTACTGCAAAATTTGGCCAATTGCCTTGTCGTATCTGTCATGCTATAACACCGTGCTAGTACTGTGTAAAGTACACATCATTGCAGATTTTAGATGTACTGGGCGAGCACAAAAAATGTAACACAAACAAATGTTAATTATAATTTAGCCATTCAGCATGCGTTTAAAGTTATAATTAGCAGAATGAAACTTATACTAGTTCAGCATCTTTCATTACAACAGGTGTCTGATAGTCACGATTTTATGGCAATGTTACGAAACATCGTCTCATGAACCCCATCTTCGGGGTTATCTCAAAGATAATGTCAACACTAACCATAAAAACACCAGAGAGTTGAAACAAGATATTCGAAGGTAGATGTGAGCCATTACACAAGATGTGTGTAAGCGTGTATCGGTATTCGTTTAAGTCTGCCTCGAGGGACCATCTACAGACATAGAACTATGAAACGTAGAATGTAAGAGCATTAAACAGAGTTCAGTTGTGACTTTAAACATATGCTGAATGACTGAGTTATTAACATTTCTTTAGGTTACATGATTTGGCTCACCCTGTGTTTATAATTTTTAGTGCCGACGGAAATTACGAAGTCACCCTTATGACGAAAGCCACTCTGTATCCCCAAGGGCGTGTAAAATGGGAACCTCCAGCAATCTATAAAAGCTCTTGCGAAATCAACGTAGAATTTTTCCCATTTGATGAACAAATTTGCACAATGAAGTTTAGCTCATGGACATACGACGCTTACCAAGTGGATTTGGTACATATTGGCCAAGCAAGAAGCGGAGATGGACATGGCACTTCTCAGATTGCAAATGGAGTTGATCTTCGAGACTATTATCGCAGTGTGGAATGGGATCTACTTGCAGCACCTGCCAAAAGAAATGAAAAGTTTTACCCATGTTGTCCAGAGCCCTTCCCCGATATTACATTCACTGTCGAGATGCGTCGAAAAACTTTGTTCTATACTGTTAATCTCATTATCCCCTGCGTTGCAATTTCATTCTTAACCGTGTTGGTTTTTTATCTTCCGTCCAACAGCGGTGAAAAAATTACTTTGTGTATCTCAATCCTACTCTCCTTGACTGTGTTCTTCTTGTTGCTTGCAGAGATCATTCCGCCAACATCTCTAGTGGTACCTCTAATTGGAAAATACCTGCTCTTCACAATGATTCTTGTTACCCTCAGTATCGTAGTGACCGTTATAGTTCTCAACGTCCATTTTAGGTCACCCTCGATGCATGTTATGTCGCCATGGGTGAAAAAAGTCTTTCTTAATATTCTTCCGCGCTTGTTGATCATGCGCAGACCTAACCTCGATAAAACCAAAGCGCCGAAAGTGATGATTCGAACCCCTAATGGGATAGAAGTCAGAGACGCTTTCAATGAGAGGGGAAGAGGACATTATATGTCTGCTAATAGACACGATGAAATGGGTGATTTAGAAACGGAGGTTAATAGCAATATAGCCCCAGGACTACGTAAACGACACACGGACCCTGTGATCGAAAAAGCTATGGAGGGGGTACGCTTTATAGCTGCGCATCTCAAAGAAGAAGATGAAAATGACCAGGTATTGTACACCTTGCATAAAAAGCATTAACCGAGGGAGATTGAATTCTGGGGGATTTTAGGGCTTTGAATTCCGGAGAACTTTTCCGAAAACCTGATACTGATACTGAAATTTACCTTTTGCAATTTGCCAACTTTTGTCAAATGTTGTCTAGAAATTAGGAAAATATGGGACAATAATCTTTAATATCAGAGTGTATGATTCATTATTTTCCAGTAATCAAGTAGATTCATTAAACAACATTGCTTGATTATACATAACAATGCTTTGAATTACCAACGTATTTTGTTAATTAGAGTCATTAGACAAATACAAAGGTTTTGTTATGAAAAATGTCCATAGGCTAATTCTGGCTCTGCAAACCCGCCATTTGCATTTCAGATAATGGAGGATTGGAAGTACGTTGCCCTAGTGCTCGACAGACTCTTTCTTTGGATTTTCACATCCGCTTGTATCGTAGGGACTTTCGGTATCATACTACAAGCACCGACACTCTATGACGACAGAGAACCGATCTCACTGACACCTATTGCTGATTGTAGTGCCAATTATGGGTCAACTTGTTAAACTATTCAAAAAATAAATTATAACATTGTTAGAAAACGAAAGATACATGTTAGACTATGTATCTAGTGTAGTACATCAGCGATTATAATAAATCAAGCCCCAACTTTCAAAAGGAGACGTAGGAAGAAACGGTGTCTTCTTATATAGTGCCCTCCCTCTCTCACGAACAAAATGTCGTTTGAAAACACGGAAAGACAATAGAAAAATAGGACTAAAACAGATTTCAAGAATTGTGTTTAGATTTTGTAAAACATAACCATTTGAATATGAATTTTCCCCCAACTCCTTTTTATTCATGATTTGGATATCTGTCTGATTAAGGACATGTCGAAATATAAGAGGCGTTTATTTGTTAGTTTATCCTCGATCAGGACTAGTGAAGGCCGTAGGAGGAAGCTCAACTGTTCTGGGCTACCCAAGTGCTCAGACTGTCCACATTACTGGTCAAACCAGAACAATGCGCTTTCGAAACAGCTAAGTTGACCAGGTTGTCAAAATCAAGGTCACTATGGCATATACCTAAGTCGAATCCTGTTCCGATATTTATAAATGCAATGTAAAGAGGAGGGAACACCCAGAGCAATGACAGACATATTACGTCCCTTGCGTTCCACCTACGTTTGCGCAAATTCTTACACTCCCCTCCATAAGTTTGGCAACCTTTTTCCCCATTGAACAACGTGTTAAAGCCTCTTTACGTTTGAATTTTTATTTACTTAACCGGCGATGAAATAACTTATAATATTGATTGAAACGTAACTTGACTTTATTTCCAATACCTCCAAATTTTCTCATTTTTTTTCCTCAATTACAATCGGTCGAAAATTGATCATAAATTTCATGAATTTTTGAAAATCGTCATTCCCATGTAATCCAATTGGAAATGGAGGGTTCGGGGCAAATCAGAACATCTTTTCAGTAAAAGATTCAGCAAAAAAATGTTTTTATATAGAAAATTGAATTGTCTAACTTTTTTTAACACTAAGTGTTTAATTTATTTGATGAATATTAAAGTAACAGCGCTTCAAAGTCATTTTTGAAAATAATTTTTCGCCCCCTGTGTTATTTCAATGGGAGAGGTTTTTTGAAACAAATTTTGACTTTAAAGCCCTATAACTTTGTTGAACCTGAAGAAACATATCAATTTTTTGTTAACTAAAGTTAGCAAATTCAATTGCCTGCCTAACTTGTATTTTTTGCAAGGACTCGGATGGATGGATATTCTGTCATATGGCTTGCGGCAATCCTACCATTTTCCATTGGTTAACATGCATGGGAATGTCGATTTTCAAAAATTCATCAAATTCATCATCAATTTTCGACCTATTGTAATTGAGGAAAAAATTTAGAAAATTTGGAGGTATTGGAATTAAAGTCAAATTACGTTTCCATTAATAGTATAAGTATTTTCATCGCAGGCTAAGTAAATAAAAATTCAAAGGTAAAGAGGCTTTAACACGTAGTTCAATGGGGGAGAAAAGGTTTCCAAACTTATGGAGGGGAGTGTACCATTTGGTTTTTGAATATAACACGTCGTTGTGATGTTTTAATCGATGTAACCCCCCTATCACACCAAACTTGTTCTTACCCGTTCTTGCCCGTCCTACGAAAACGTCGTAAAACGGGCTCAACCTGGCTGTGGTCGTGAAATATGTCTAGTATAATTAGCTACTTCGTTCATAAACAGTCTTCAATACGTCCAACGCATTCGCAGTTCGTTCAGGTCGCACCACGTCGGTGTGCAACGTCGAATAACGCGTCCCTTAGTCTAGAAGGTCATCATGACCTGATTACAGAACGGTATGATCGCCATCGAATTTTGAATCGATTCAAAATTCTAAAATCACCTTCCCGTCTGAGAACGTTCATGAAGTTCGTAAATAGACCTTAGAAAGTTGCAGCTACGCTGGCACACAGCCAAAACCAGTTTTGAAGAACGCAGTGGCAACTTGTTTGGTGTGATAGATATATATTTGCTAACTCGTTCATAAGCAGTCTTAAATACGTTCTTAATCAGTTTAAACTCGTTTGCAATTAGTTCTACTTCGTTCTCAATACGTCCCCAGACAGTTCAACTCGTTGTTAAAACGTCCCTAGTAGGATTGAAGTACGACGGTTTCATTCGTAATACGTCCAGCTCGTCGTTAGTACGTTGTCACTCGTTCTAATTGTAGAACGTATCGACCACGAGAACATTTTGAGCATGTTCTAAGTTCTAGAGGACCTACCCGTTCGAGTACGTTCGATGACGTTTGTAAATAGACCCCAAACGGTTCTAAGTACGCCCAGTCCGTTCGTACACAGTTGAAGACCGTTTTCGAGAACGTAGTGAAAACTAGTTTGGTGTGATAGTAGGGTTAGCATATTCCTTACATTTTTCTTTATCTTGATGTGAAATAACAAGCTATGGTGTTGTTTAACATGCCAGAAATTAACATAAAATTATTCGAAGCGTTCTTTGAAAATTTTTTGTTTGTCGATTTGGACCAATCAGGACGGTGGGTCATCTCAATACAGATTTACATCATAGACGTATGTGGATGCCCAAGTATACTTGGCTACCCAACTATTCTTACTCTTGCCGAAGTGTTCTTACCTGACCCAAGTATTCCGAGTTTGCTAATTTTTTCAAATACACTCGATAGATGTCTTGTTTTTTATTGTGGTTTGTAACTTTGTACAATCAGCCTCCCCGGTCTTGCTTTGCAGCACAGGTTTCTCATATTACACATGACCTTAGATCTTGTGTCTCATGTTTCCAGTTGCAAAAAATCTTGATCTATTAAACAGACATAAACATGTTTTCAACTATGTTTTAGAAGTGTTAATGTACTAGTATAGATTATAGTATTAAGCTTACTTCTAATCTCGGCATGTTTGTGTTTATAGACTAATAAGAGACTTCTAACATAGATACAGATGAATTCATTGGGTGTATGGGAAAATAAACTACATAAAGAGCGCTGAGCAGGCTGATATAGTGACCAAGGTTTAAATATTGAAAATTCATGTAGCTACATTTACTGAAATTCAAACATATTTTATCTGATAAATTCAAGGCTAATTGAATATTTTTTTGTCGACTCTGACCTTCTCAGGTTTGATGTTTTTGTCAAGCTCAGCCGACTTCTCCTAGAAAGTTTACGAATTACATATGTATTGGCTAAATGCCAGCGAATAGGTGCACGTTATGGTTAAAGATTTAATTGATACGCATCAAGGAGTGGGAGTCTACAAGTGGTGACATATTGTTATAGTCTCTAACTTTTTGTGGACAGCATTCTGTGGTTGGCGTTCGGCGCCTGTAACAAATGCCAGGGACGACATTTTGCATGTTAATGCCTTGTTAAAATATATTGCTGTCACTGTCACTAGCAAAGATGTCATGAAATCGTAACGAGGAAATCATTTTATTACTATTGGATTTTTGTTTTCAGGAATACACTCATGTTTATTTACACGAATAAAGGATCTAGTGCGCCCTCCATTATGATCTCCCCATGAACAAAAATAAATTCATCTGAATTTTCGAAATGAATATACTGCTTTTATTATTACATTTATATGTACACTAGTATCCTGTTGACCTATATTCAGCACTGTATTGATGAATGGGCCACTTATAAGGGCCAACATTCAATCATAAAGTGTACAGGGGTAGAGATGCCAAATCAGGAAGTATTTTTGTGTCTGTCAAAATCCATTTGCATCCTACACATCCCTACATCTTATCCAAATATGTTATGAATTAATGAAACATAACAGTATAATCTTTGGATTTACAAAGTTATATGGCATTTCATAAGTGTAAAAGTTGCTTTTGAAGCATTTTTCTATAGCCATTTTGTAAGAAAAAATGATGAAAAAATGTATAATCTTTTCATTTGAAGTATCACCTGAATCGATTGCAAACTTTATATTTGCACATCTGATGTGATATACCAGTCGTGTCATATTGTGAAATTATTTAATTTGCAATCGATTCAGGTCATAGTGTATTTTAAGTATTTTTGTGAAAATCAATAGAAACCAATGACCTTCATTGGAATCTGATGATATCAACATCTCGATGAAACACATACACCCTTGCTGAACTCAATGACCTCAACCTCAGCCCATGTGGGTCCAAATGCTTAGATATTTTCCAAAGTATTATGTGACATTGTGTTCTTTATGTTACACCTAAAATGATTCATTTTGTTCATGGGGAAATCATAATGGAAAGTGCACTAGATCCTTTGGTCCAAATTTACATAAAAAGTAAAAAGCGCACAGAAGATATACAGTGGCTGTAAAAAATACTTACGTTCCAGGGACGGATCTGAAAATCAAGAGTAGGGGGTCCTAAATCTGAAAATTTGAGCCCAGTTTATAAAAACAGGCTCAAAATTAAAATAAATCATGCTCAGTAATGCCGAGTTGTTACCTTAATTGCTCAATTTATGTGGAGAGGGAAGAATTTTTGCCCTATACGTTTTTTGGCCCTCACTGTTTGGGGCCCTCCAAAGGGGAGGGTCGGGCCCATGTCCTCCGCCAGATCGACCATTGCGTTTTACCTTAATATGTATGATACAACACGCATATTCAATAATAGGGTCCTCCGCCCTTGTTATTTTTCTTAAATCAATGATAGTATGTTTTACATACCGAGCGGAGGTAGTCATTTATATCATTTATAAAAACATGAGTGGTTTCCAAATTAATTTCAGGAGCCATCTTTTGAATATACGTGGAATCCATTGACAAATGATTAAAAAAACTAACGCAGACATCTATTGAGTGTATTCGAAAAAATAAGTAAACCCAGAATACTTGGGTCAGGTCAGTATGCTTCGGTAAGAATCAGAATAGATGGGTAGCCAAGAATACTTGGGCCTTCACAGACCTACGTCATCTTTGAACCCTGGGGATTGTCACCCTCTTTGCCATGCACATGTATTTTTAAAACTGGGCTATCGCCCTCATTTAAAGAAGTTCCAAACAAGTATGTGCATATTACAAGATTAACAAAACCTTACGTTTAAATTAGAAATGGAATAGCCTATAGCTATTTTGCCCATCTGAATGACCTTGTTCTCAGTACCCAGGACAACTTGTTTTCTCATAATCCCAGCGTCACTAAATTCAATTCTACAAATATATAGAGATTATCCTATATGAGGTTCAGGATATTGGGATTATCCCGAGGCAAATATAATATATTTGCCCGAGGGCCGCAGGTCCCGAGGGAAAATATGTTATATTGGCCAAGGGATAATCCCAATATCCTGAACCGACTATAGGATAATATGTTTATCCCATACCAATCTTGGTCATCTGGTTCACATTGTTCAATCGTGGAAATATTTTACAATATTCATGTCCAGTTTTGTTTTCTTGGCCGTGGGTGGATTTTCCTGTTCTCTCAAATATTCCCATATTTATTTTCTCGAATTTTTGATTGATTATAAGTGGATGCTCATTGCTATCAAACAGATCCCGATTGTCTGTGTTTTCTCCATTGTCGTTTACAGTCATTACGCGAACGTTACAAATTATGAACAAATATGCGAGCGACGATTATGACGTAGCGGGCAGATATACTATATCTGCCCGCTCGGAGCGGGACGTAAAGCTATATCTGCCCGCTGATGAAAATATAAGTTTTTACAAACTGGCTTTATGTACCTGTAACACGTCCAAGTATGGGATAAAACGTGATACTTCCTATACAGATATAGAGTCCGTTGTTTTCGGTATCTGTTACTGTATATTCCAACTTGTTTACTGTTACAAAATGTATCATATGACGTTCATTTTATGTTTACTAAACTATAAATAAGTTTAGCAAGGGCAAATGCATCATTTCGAGTTCAAAGTATTAAAGACGTCATATCATAAAAATGGCCTAACATGAATTCGAAGGGGTAAGAAGTTTTCGCTTGGTCATCACATCTTACAGCTTGCGATTAAAATGTGTTGTTATTTTATAGCTCATATGTTTTATGATAGATAATATATTTTTGCAAGACTAGTGGCCTACATGGCAGTAGATTCGTTTACAGTTTCAAAATTGAAATGGTTCAGCCTTTTCTTCAAATTTTGAATAACTTTTTTTATCGACTGCCCGAAAGCCTTTCCAAACGAACATCTTATTTCAATTTAATTATTTTTCAAACGAGCATCTTATCTCGATCTTGAATTTTCGTATAAAATGGCCGATGCTTTATAGGATAACAATATATCTCTGTACCAATAGGGGCAATATGGACGCGGATCAATTTTTGGTTCGATTTTTCTCATGCGCATCAAATTCAGCAATTTCATTGGTTCAAATTATTTAAAGATGCACTATACCATAGGTTTCTTCCCCAGACAATCAATGATGTCCCATTGTTATTGCTCATATAATATCTCACCTACCATGGATATATCATGAAAATAACTTTATGGGTATATTATTGCCGAAATATTGAAATAATCAACAGAACAACCAATCTCCAGAATTAAACACATTCGATTCCTCGACTAGCGAGGGGGATCCCCAATGAGTCACACAAGCACCTTGAACCAGGCACCCAATCAGGTTCATGATAAACAGATTCAACGACCAATCAGATAACAGGAGGACTTTCCTGGTATATTCAAACTTCAGATTGAATTAATTTCCGCGAAAATAATTAGATTGGCCAGCACAATCGCAAAATTTACACTGAAAGAGGGGGATTTGGGACTTTTTCTATGGTAAGTAGATGGGTGAATATGCCGTGAAACTCAATATGCAAAAAAAGTCCAGAGTGGTATTGATTGTGCTATCCTATGGCATAGAGCCTCTTTAAACGCAGATGAGAAATCTGAATAATGGGAAGCGAAAAATCGAACCAAGTAAAACCCAAACATCGCGCGAATTGCCCTGACTCCGCTGTACGGATTTTCACTGGCACTTTGGATTGGGTTTGTGTTGTTTATGAAATGGGCCTTATAGCAGCTCTCTTGTTATTAATTCACTATTATAACATTAAATATATAGTTCTAGCTTAATTTAGTCTGATTAGTTGACATTTCTAAGAATGTGTCAACTGATTAAATGACATTGATCATATTTAACTAAAATAGATAAAAACTGATACAGAAGAAGTGTCTAATATTGATTTATAAACAATCTTCGTCTGAACCAATATAAGATACTCAAGTAAAGTCCATTACATTGTACTGCGCTTCTACCACGATTGACGCTCGATTTGGACCTGTGGATAAAACATGAACAGGTACGTTGGACTATTTCACAAGTTCACACAAACCATCCTTTCGAATAATTAAAGTGGGAGTATCGATTGCCGAGTCGTATCCAATGATCCTGGGCCTATCGTAAAATGAAAGCTTTGAATATGTTGTTGCCTTTAAAAATGTATCTATTTTCCATGTATGCTACTAGAATTTGTGCACATACCTTATAACGATCGATAATGGCAAAGGAAAATCCTCTAATTCTTCGTCATAATTTCTCCTTCGACGTCCGCCATTTTTTATTAAACCGGAAGTTTTTCTCTGACGTCCGCGCAATGTTTTTTCACTTTTATTTCAGATTACGCTTCGGATTCAACATTTAATGCTTTCTAATATTAATTAAGTGTTTTCTATCAGAAAGATTTCATAAAAAGACTCACACTATCAGAGATTTTATCGATTCGAGCAGCCAGAAAAATTAGTTTCAATTTCACCCGCTAGGTGTTTCGACGTCGACTTGGAAAGAATTTGAAAAATCTATGAGTGGGACTCCTTGTATGGAATTGTAGATTCTAAACGATTTGCCAGTTCTACTGGTTGATGAATATTGCCATATGCATACATTTTTATAAAATAGGAATAAGGAAGAAGATGTTGGACCAAACTTCACCCCGATAGCTCAGAAAAGGTAAAATTTCTCCATTTTTCTCTCCACAGACCTTAGAGCCGCTTTAAGAACTACAAAATTTGAAATTCGAACGAACTTTCAGCTTACTGTAATGTTGATATTTGCCTGTTGTACCATTGATATCTCATTTGAAACTAAAGCGGACAAGAACCCTCAAAACGCCAAATACCTAAATATTCTACCCCAGAACTTGGAATGACATTAACCTCAGGTTACTGTATCATGGGCCAACACAGCACCCCGAAGGGTCGTAAAATGCCAAATATCTAGTTATTGAGCTTTTACCTATGAGGGACCTTGATCTATGACTTGTAGCATACCCATTGACCCACGTATAGTATGTCGACCAAGTATGATGACCCAAGACTTAACGGTCTAGGAGACATCAGTTTGGCATTTTTTAATTCCAGTTTGATTGTCTTGGCATTACTTGGCCTTGCAGCCAGGGTTTACAGCAAGGAATGCTTTGTTGGGAAAGTATTTGCAACAGAGGATATGACATCCGGGACATGTACAAAGACTTGCTCAGAAGCTAGTGGTAACTCACATAGGGCTGGATGTAGCAAGGTGAGTGCCAAGAATTATCTAATTTTTCTGTTTACAGTTTACCCGAGTGGCCCAATGACTGAAGGACTGCTTAATTAAAGAGTTGCCAAAGTTGATTAATTAAACATCGACCCAATTAAATTATCTGAAATTTTACTTACATGAATGCTGTATTCTAGATAAAGAACTGCAATAAGCATTTCACCGGTTGGACAAGAGGTTGGGTCAGATGTGACATCTGCCAGTGTGATTGCTACAAAAACTGTGGTAGTCATGAAAAATGTCGCATTGCATCTGGTAACACTGTGAGACGTGTCTATATTGAACCTGACCTGAACAGAGGATCTTGCACAAGTGAGCTAAAACGTTGCAAAGGAGCACGTACGTTATCGCAAACAATTTCAGACGATACTAATTCGAGTTACAAATATTTTCTGATTCTGAAAATGGGTTTATATTTTAGGCCCATTCATTATCTTCAAAAAAACATATAAAGATAATAAAGTTAATCAGACTAAGTGATATTAAAGGAGCAATCAATCAACATACTTTTTCGAATTTCACCAAAAGTGCAACCTTTTATTATATTGTTGAATGCATAATTAGAATGTGCTTTGAGACATGTTCTATTTGTTAAAAGGAAAAGTAGATTCCCCAAGGGACTTTAAGATACTGAATTTGGATGACCAAAATGAGCTAAAACCAATGGATAGCATGCGTTTTTTGCAATGGGAATTAACATGGGGAACACAAATCTTAGGAGAATTAAGTTTTCCTTTTAAGAACTAATTGATACATCAAAATAAAGAATGTCGATGAGTTCATTGCTATCTAAATATCTAAGATATACCTGTCTTCGGGGCCAATAGTCATAATCCGAGATATGACCGTCTGAAATTGTTTGCAATAACCTACGTGCTCCTTTCAAATGTAATTTTAGATGAGACACATATCTATATTTTTGTACAATTATAAACAACAAACAAAGTTTGTGATTTTCTATAATTTTAGATATTATTTTTTACAATATTTTGTTTGAAAAAACACATTAACGAAAATATGATAGTAACAATGCAACATGTTTAGAAATTGAGTAACGATGTTAATGTATTTCAGAGACCTGCGGAGAAGTACCAAATCATAGAAACAAATTTGGTTGCGCGGAAATAAAGAACTGTCAAACAAAGCAAAATGGTTGGATTAGAGGGTTCGTCTCCTGTGATATCTGTGAATGTGACTGTGTTCTACCTACTCTTGATCCATTCGATCTAGAGCCTGGTGTACTGTATCCAGGACGATGTGGTAAGATGATTATAGACTTTTATTTGCTTATACATTTGTTTGTTTGGAATTGTAGAGCAAATGTCATACACTTTCTCAAAAAAAGAACTTAAACGCCAGTGTTTTATCTCCATCTTATAGCTTTGTGGCACGGACTTTAAGACTTCAGGTCCGTGTTTGTGGATACCATACATATTTTCTGATGATTAACGTTAACGGATGTTGACCCTTTGAGCTGCCCATGGACTTCGAGACGGGATTTTATGTATCCCACATCATTTATGAGTACTAGTATCTACAACTATTTTTGATGTTTTGATGTGTGATTTTTGAGTATTGGCTATCAATTTTTTAATTTTTCTTCAACATGTATTGTAATGACTTCAGTATGAATGAAATGTCCATTGGTGTTCTGGTCCTGGATTGTGATATTGGTTCTCGATTGGAGGGGGGGGGATGTTAGACATTGTTTCTTTTCACGTTAGATCATGGTTTTTGGGATATATAGGGTCTACTTTTCTTATGACAGATTTACACTTACAGTTTGCTTTTCTTGTTGGTTTTTTTTAAAGTTTTTAGTCACCCTTCCCTTTTGGCATCTGTGCTTATATATTCTAATGGGAATGTTTTTCCATTTCAGTCCCAAAATAGCTTGTGACACGATAAGACAGCCATGCAAAAGATGTACTGTGACGTGGAACAGTAACAATATATCAAACATCATTCAACGATACTAACGAGACAATATGCTAGTATCGTTGAGAACAATGATCACATTTTATCAATTTGACTTAATTTGTAATATTATTAGCTTATGATAATCAAACAGTATCTAAATAAAGTACCTTAATTGATATTGGTGTTAACACATCTCTAGGGGGTGAATATTAACAAGTACTCAAAGATGAGCGTTGGTGTCAAGATGCAAACTTTCTGGACAACCACTTTTAAAACACGAATAGACATATTGAAAGAGTATTCGCTTACGTGCCCTTAAGCAAGAAGGTTCCACATGTGGATTCTTGTAACTGGTTGTAATATCCGACTTTCTTTTTCATTTCTTCGTGTCTACATATAAACACAAACCTATACATGTACGAACAAGGTCCTTCTATAAGTGACACAGTCTGTTGTAGTTTCATAAAAACAACCGTCTTTCATCTTATTTAATGACTTAGACTATAGGTGGGGCACACAATCAGTTAGATCACGATAGGTGTTTTGTAGGTTCCAACATGATCTTATATCACTATGGTACCATATTCAAAATATATTTAAAAACATGAATCTAATAATAATGCTCAGCATATCACAAATATGCCATACATTGATTAATTGCAAAGTAACATCACACATTTGAAGGATAAAATTTACTCAATAAAATTTGTTTGATACACACCGATTTTTATTTTTATTTTTTTTATTTTTGTCTTCAATTGACTAGAATCTTAATTTCCTTGGATGTGATGGAGTGCACCGACATACAGCAAACACTTTATTATTGCATGCACCATACTCTTCTGATTATGCTATATCTTATGTTGAAAACGAAATGCTAGTCAGCGAGGTAAGACCTTTAAATATTAGAATGGCCTTCTCAAAGTTATCTGATCAACCCTGCGCATGGTTTCACTAATGTGTTTGAGTCATAGAAACATAGTGATACTCTTGTACTGACCAAAGAGGAGCCCTACTTTTCATAGTAGAGAAATGTTATCACACGTTTCAGCATGTGATACAGGAAATATTCCACGAAAGGTAACACTGTATAATCCACGAAAGCGAAAGAATCTCATATCATATAAACGATCCGTTTCGGGAACAGTGTTTTTTTTTTTTAATTAATAAATACTCATTTATTTCTTTAAATCATTAAATAAATTTACATTGTAATCACGGCGTAATCGCCCATAAAGGGCATTTTTACTGCCGCTTTAAGTGAATTTAAATACAATATAATGTTATTGAGTCATATTCATAGTTAGTATAAAAATATATAAAATTTAAATACAATCTGTTTTACTGCCTGCCTGTACCCCCGTTGGTGCCCTGAAATTGAATTACTGTTTTGATTGTTTAATTGTGTTTAATAAAATTTATAACTGCCTTAAAGATTTTGGAATTGTTTTCATTTGTCAGATCCTTGTCGCCAAAAAGTAGGAAATTTGTCTTATTTTTTAATGTTTTGTATTTGGTAACATCTAAGTTTAGTTCACGTTTAACCACCGCTAGTGCATTTGTTTCTCTCAGAGGGCAGGACAAGAGTTTATGTTGTGCTGTCTCTCGAGCTCCACAGTCACAATATGGATCGTTAATGAAAGAGAAATTATGGTCAAAAAGATCGGATTTAAAATATCGATTTACTCTTATCTTATTTAGTATAATTTCGTCTTTTCTATCAAGATTCTGTATGTAGGAGGTTGAAATTGTAGGTTCCATGTTATTAGTGAGATGATCGCTTAGTTGTTTTTTGAAAAGTGAGAAGCTGTTTGTTTCCTTATGGTCTCTAGGAAGACGGTTCCACAAGGTTATCATTGAGCAAACTGTTCCCGTTTCCATTTTTTTACTAATTGAGGCTGGTAATTTGTAGTCGTTGGTTGTTGAACAGTGTAATCGAGTAGAGTGCCAGTGGTTTAGCATTCAGGAGGATGAAAAAATTAGGATTACCTATTGGTGAGGACATACACTTTTGTGTCATTGTTTCTCTATGTCTCTATGTCGGATCTTCCAAAAGAAGAGAGAAACATATTGTCTTAAACATCCTTGATATAGTGGTATATATGGAGCCAGGAATTTGAATGTCAAAATTAAAATCCATCCATGATACCATTGGCCTGTTACGCCTGTTTTGTGTGCTTGTTTCCACTTTATCTCTTATACTAGTATATTTATTATAGCAAGCTACACTGATTACACTGTTTTTGTATGCTTATATGCACCGTTTCAAGGCGTGGTTTTAAGAAAATATCATAATATTAAGAAAGTATCATAATATACAAGGGTGAAATTTAGATCCGAAAATATTATATTATTGAGGATTTCTGAGGAACCCATTAAGATACGTAGAATTGATCCCCTCGGTCTCATGATCTCATGGGTATTTTCTCCTATGTGTCATTCGTGTTAAACGTCGTCCACTGTCTTCCACCCTGGACGAAGTGATAAGGTCAAAACAAGTGGCTCCGATTTAGGAAAATACGATCTTCCTAAAAATTAAAAATTTTAGTACCCCAATTTTTGTAAGGTTAAATTCTTGTGGACAAAGAGGAGAATCATATACAATTTTGTATTATGTTCAAGTGGTACATCTTAAACTACTCAGTTCGTGTGTTTTAAATTGAATGGAACGCGCATTAGTGGCTGGAGTGTAAATTAAAGTTGAGAATTATATCTCCCGCTAAAAATTACGATTTTATATTGTCAAAATATCTTTCATTGATGATCAATGATGCATATAAACGTTCATGCACACCGAGATTGTATGTTTCTTTTCATATGTGCATTTACAGCATCGACAGTTATTTCAATTTGATGTGATGCCTATTTATTATTTATTTATTATTATTTATTATTTATTTAGAAACTACATCTTTGAAACGATGGCACACTAAAATTAAATTATTATAGGTGCGTCTAAAACATGTTACAGTATTTAAAACAAAGTACCGAACATTAGATGTGTGGGATTAAGTCACACTTGTATCTCTAGGCTTGTATACTTTACTTAAAAATGTTTTTACAATCATGTCAACGTTTTTGAATTGATCATGCCCCCATAATAAAAATACATCATCACCTAAAATAAAACCAAGTTTCTTTTCTGAACTTGCAGAGATAAAATAGGAAAATATAATTTCATTACATTTCTGTCTTATACTAAAATAAAGTGATTGGCGCTCATCATTAAAATGAGTTGTTTTACTCCCGACGACGAACATTTCAGGAAAAGACGCGATTATTGATTTGGAAGCCTACACAGCTGAAAGTAAACAAGTGATTAATTAGACATCCATTCCACGTATTTTCCATATATTCTGTGGGAATCGGAGCCGCGTTTTTTCCAGAAAATAATTCTAATCTCGTCTCAGGGACGTAAATTACTACTTGTATTAGAAAAATAATAGTAATATGACATTCCCTGGTTCATAAACTATCATATCGCCAAATATCAATGGATTTGAAACAGAGTATCTACCATTTTTTCGAAAATAATCAAAAAAAAATATTGCGGTTATTTAAAAAAGTAAATTATTTCAATTCGTATTCATTTCGTTTCATTTCTTAGTATTAATCGTTACAATATTATATATAGAGAGGTGGATATGTCTTGGATCAATGTACCGAGTTTGAACATGTCATGTGGCCAAGAAAGGGTATAATTTAAAGAAATAAACTCACCCCTGCTCTGCCATGTTTATTTTTAGGAAGATCGTATTTTCCTAAATCGGAGCCACTTGTTTTGACCTTATCACTTCGTCCAGGGTGTCTTCTTTAGCTCACATATGGAGCTTTTGCAATCACTCATTTGTCTGTCCGTCTCTGAAGATGAAAGATCAATATCTCAGTTAATCGAACTACAAATTGTAGACATTTGAAATGCAAGTACAAAAGATTGTATTTTTATCACTCTTACCCACTTACTTAAATTCTTTTCACTGTTAGAATGTTAGACCTCGGTTCTTTGACAGGTGGCCTTAGTCCCCTCACTGCCAGCTACAACTCCATTAGGTTTGAGTAAGATATCCAGGAAAATAGATATATATAGGTTAATGTTCTTCTGGGGAATCTTGAGCTTACCTGCCTATGAGTAATATTTATAAATGCGTTGCGATCCACAGACTCGTTCAAATAATGAATGGTGTTGGGCACTCTATGTCACCTCTAGTTAGTATGTGGAACACAGTTGTAAGATACAATATGAGAGGTAGTGTTGTAATAATGTTAGGTACAGCGCAATATGGGTCGAAATTCAGTTGGAGAAAAAAGGTAAAAATGATTGTCGGTAACTCTGATTTACAGAGTTTAAGAATCATGTGCTCATTATAATAGCTCTTTGAAATGGTATTGTGAATCTTTAAGGACAACAACTACTTTATGCCCTACTATTTGATGGAAAATTTGTCAAGAATTTCCAATGTTGAAAACATCATGCCAGCTCATGTTACATTTGCAATCCGGTTGTTTTAAATTCTCTGAATCGATGTGTCCTTGTTACAATGATTGTTATGACACAATTGAGCACTTCATGTTGAATTGTGAAGCACTTGCTGATGTTAGAAGACCATTGGCAGTATTTTTCAATGAAATGCATTTAATGTCAAATGACCAGAAAATGAGAATGTCTCTCGGGATTCAAATGTCAATAGATGACATTGATACGTTTGTTTTTATCTCAAAAATAGTAACTCAAATGTATACTAAGAGCAATTCCTTGATCTCATATAATGGCATTTACTAGGCTAATCATACGTAGTGTGGTATGATAATATCATTCTTGTAAATGGTATTATATACTTGTATATACGTATCTTAATACCTTTTTTATTCCTAATTATATTACTGTATGCAATGTAACTGTCTTTTATAAAAGATGCAAATAAATTATACATACATACACCAGGTCGTGCCATACGAAAAATGCTCTCATTTCAAAGGTTTTAATTATTTTTTGCCATGAAAAGGATTCGGGTATCTATATGGTGAACTGAATTCAACAATGTTTTTCTCTTAAACCAATCATTGAAAACATTCTGTAAAAAACGGTCCTTTATGTAATTTTGACTGATTGACAACAATTTAATGCGAAAATTATTTATATATATTTTATATAACTGTTCTTGTTAACATTTTTTGTTTTTTAATGAAATTGTTTTTTGTTCCATTTTACCACTTGTTGAGAATGAAATAAAATATCTTTCTGAAGCTTGTTGGAACAAAATAGCATATATACAACATTTTCTTTGAACTCTCGATAGTATAGTTACACAAAGGGAATTATGTATTCAAAATTAAAACAAAAGCCCCCGAAAATAGATAAAAATCAAGATAAACCTTTTAATTTATTAACAAGATACTTTTTTAAAATCAAACAAACTTTCCTTTGTACAATAACAATATTGAGAGACCTTAACACGTTTGTTCCAATGAGGTTCGGATAGATGTTTCATTTCATTCCGGACAAATGATACCAAGAACAAAACAAGTGTTTGATGTGTTTTCTAAAACAATATATGTAGATGAAAGTATATGTATAGTAGTCATTACGATTTATATTTTTAGTTCATATGATTGACAGTTTATTGAGAGGTCGCTGAAATCGAACCGTATGAACCGTAATGACTTCTCTGTCGTTTCTATAAATTCGTTAACCTCGCTGAAGTCGAACGTTTGAAAGATCTGTTGTTCACTGGTGATCCACTCGATTACGCTGGTTACCAAAACGGTTCGTTTTGGTAACAAAATGTCGGAACATCGAAGGTACGATTTTTCTTTTTTCCTTATTTCACACGTTGTAGGCAGAATTCAAACGACATTTTTAACACAAACGTGTATCAGTATCATATGCTTAAGAAAATGTACATATTTGCGAACAAATAGTTCAGAAGACAACAGAATCGTCGATTTAATTACTCACTTAAGTTACATATACGGTTTTTCGAAAAACGGTTAAGATCTGCACTTTTAACCCAAACCGTTTATGTAACTTAAGTGACGAATTAAATCGACGATTCTGTTGTCTTCTGAGCTATTTTTTCGCAAACATGTACATTTTCTATAACATATGATACTGATATACGTTTGTGAGAAAAAACGTCATGGGGATTCTGCCTACAACGCGTGAAATAAGGAAAAAAGAAAAATCGTACCTTCGACGTTCCGACATTTTGTTACCAAAACGGTTCGTTTTGGTAACCAGCGTAATCGAGTGGATCACCAGTGTTGTTCCGGGTCAGAGAGTTTACGGATGACTCTTCAAGGAAAATAAAGTGTCTATTTTCAAATTATGAACAATCCAATCACTGCTTGAGCTTATATGAGATACTCATTCAAGCCAAAATCATTACACGGGATTGAGCTTGTACAACGGTTGTGGCTCGATTTGGACCTGTCGATCGCGTTAAAAACATGAAAAGGTACGTAGATATTTTCTACATGTTCACGTGGGTGTTTTTGACTACAAATAGTATAATAATGACTGCTATTAAGTGTAAAGTATCAATTTTTGACAATCTCTGTCCGAACCTATAGGCAGCCTTAGTGTTGGAGTCTAGAGTCTATTTCACTGCTTCATTTCGTCAGTAGAACGGCAAAAATAAGAAATTGGGAGACCATTGTGCAATAATATATGGAAAAGTATATTCATAATGTACATGAATGACATTTGTATATCTTGGATTGCTTCTAGTTTGGCTTATAAAGTGTGTGGCCACTTATATTTGGATGTTTCTCTGCCATGTTATTTTCAATAAGATTAACATGGCTGAAATTCTTCAAATTACAAGACGGCACAGGCTTATTGCACAAAAAAACAAAAAATCTGAAATATACAAATGTCATTATGTACATTATGAATATACTTTTCCATATATTATTGCACAATGGTCTCCCAATTTCTTATTTTTGCCGTTCTACTGACGAAATGAAGCAGTGAAATAGACTCTAGTCAAGTCCTTCTTATCTCAAAATTACTTTGGATATGAACATTATGAAACGTCCTGTACAGTAGTTGAACAAGTTAAACCCATACATGTACCACGGCTTTCATTTATAATCTGAGTGTTCTTGTTGCCTTGGTTGGGTTTAACTTCCGTGCTATGCTTTCATTGGTTGCAAATTCTCACGATCAGTTATTAATAAAACGCGCATAGAATTCCCTGCGCTGTTATAGGCCATCATTAAAATGTTTTGCATCAAGGGCCGAATAGGCACGGATGTTAAACCTAGGGCGGGCCACAAGAAATGTCAGATAAGAAATAAGGCCCAGACTAGGTTTAACTTGTTGAACTACCTGTACAGATACTTGCGAGAGTTTATTATGCAACCAAATGGCTCGCTCCAGGAATCTCTAGCACAAAATGGATTGATTAGTGTATCAAAATGGTAGTCGAAGTGTTTGATTGGATATTTTACATATTCAGCTTATTAATTTTGAATACGGATCACGGTCGAGTGGTCGACACACATGAGTACATGAATGTTAGGGTTTACGTGTAGATCCAATTTATAAGTTTACAATCATCGTTGATATCTCTTTTTATACGTTCTAAGGTGTGAGTACCGTAATCCAACAAGAAATTCGAAAATTCTGAACAATACTTTGCACATATGGCGTTTGTGACCAACTATGAAACGCTTACCCCCTCAATAGCGTTATACATCAAAATCTACCCGTTAAATACAGGGGTTCGATTGGTCTACATCAAATTATAGCGAGTCTGGTTACTTTTTGAGATATCAGCGTCCATTTATTGGAACTCGCGTTTGCTACCATTTGCTCAATTCTGAGATGACGGGCATCGCGTAGTAAACATGCTCACGTTGGAACTATTTTGACATGCATGGCTATTCAATCATAATTACATCGTAATTGCAGTGAGATTTTAAATGTTTGGAACTACTTTTAATTCAAAAAATAAGCAATCATCATCATCATCAGATTCTGAGCTTGTAGGTCTTAACTAACAGTCCTGTTAATGCTCAGATCTTTATTATTTATAGTTCATATTCAATTAAACTATATCATAGTGGTAAGTTTGCCAAAATCTGTCTAGCCTCCCTTTAAACTGATCTATACACTGTCAGACATCACAATCATCTCGGGAAGGCTGTTCCAGTCATCAATAACCCTGTTGCTGAAGGAGTTTCTTCTCACAGTAGTGTTGCAGTGATGCTTGTATAGCTTCAAAGAATGCCCTCTGGTGGTAGTGGTAGCCTTAGTAAAGAAGGAGCTTGGCTCTATTGTGTCGATTCCATTCATGATTTTAAAGACTTGGATCATGTCGCCCCTTCTGCGTCTATATTGAAGTGAATGTAGCTTTAGCTCTTTCAGCCTTTATTGGTAGGGCTTATCCTTTATTCCAGGTATTAATTTAGTAGCTCGTCTTTGTATTTGCTCTATTTTTCTGTTATCGCCTAAGAATCTTGGATGCCAGATGCTATTTCCGTAGTCTAGAATTGGTCGGATCATGGATTTATACAGAGGAATTATATTTTCCTTTATGTGTGTGAAACTCCTTTTAATAATACCAAGTTTACTATTGGCTTTCTTAGCTACTTGACTAATATGTTGCTTAAACTTTAGTTCAGTGTCCATGATCACTCCTAAGTCCTTTTGTTCTGACACTGATTCAATGTCTTTATCCTCAAGTTTATACTTATGGTTCGTATCCATATTCTTTCTGCCTAGGTTTAATCAAATGACTATATTGCAACAACATATGGAAAATGGAAACCATATGTACAAGTCCTCAGCCATGTTAATTTTTTCAAAAATAAAATGGTAGAGAAGCATCGAAATATAAGATGCCATAGATATGATAGCTAAACTACAAAACTACAAAATATACAAAAGGTAGGAAATGTATAAATGTTTCTATTTTTACATATTCTGTTTCAATATGGTCCTTGAATTGCTTATTTTTAGATTCAAAAGTAGTTCCAAACATTTAAAAGTTTAGTGTAAAATGAAAATTGAACTTCTTCTCTTTATTTTGAAACCAAATAATGGCATACTAGGTACCCTAGAAGCCAACCAATGAAAAAATCCGAACCTGGAAACTGTGCTTTATTTAAAAATTAGAAGTGCGGCAACTTTTTCAGATATTTCTTACAACAAATGGCAGCCATCTTTTTTTCCCCTTTCAAATCAAACTAACGGGAAATTGCCAATGTTGTTTTTCTATGATACTGATTAATTGTTTTTTTGTTAAGATATTTATTTTAACTCTCAGCAGGGCGCTCATGATTCATCAAAATTCATGAAAAATGCATACACTTATATCAAATGTAATAAAAAACATATTTCACATACATTTGAATAAGGCTCCAAAAAGGGCGTGTATCCAGACTCATCCTTTCAGTTTGATTTTCTTTATATAACTTGGCCTTGCAGCCAGGGTTTACAGCAAGGAAACTTATAGTACTAACAATTCTTAGCGATCTGTTACTGCAATTGTAACTTCAACTATAACATGATGAAATAAACTATTTTATTAAAAAAATGTAATTTCAATTTCAGTTTGATTGCCTTGGCATTACTTGGCCTTGCAGCCAGGGTTTACAGCAAGGAATGCTTTGTGGGGAAAGTTTTTGCAACGGAGGATATGACCTCCGGGACATGCACAAAGACTTGCCCCGAAGCTAGCGGTAACTCACACAGGGCTGGATGTAGTCGGGTAAGTACAAAGAATTATCTATTTTTTCTTTTTAGCTACTTCTGAGTGACTACTCTCGTTTGATTTGAATTAATTTGAATTATCTTCCACAATTTTGAAATGCGTTTTTCTCTGCACCACTTCCATGCATCGATGAATTTATTTCTTGCTTATTTTCAATACATTTTCTATATTTTCCATAAATGTGTTGGATGGTTCAGTTCAAGATGTCTTTCAATAAAAGCTTTCCTATTTTTCGTAGAAAATTCTGTCTATGTTGCACCTACCTTAGGCAATGTATTTAAGGCAGCATGGGTATTTTGACTGTAGTGGTACTGTAGTGGTATTTTCAATATGGCCTACTTTTTTAAAATAAGTATTTTCACATTGTGTGTCTTCCACACTCGGAACGCTCTCTTATTTCATCTTTGAATTATACGATAGTGAAAGTACTATAAGTATTATTAAATAATAATTGTGCAATAATTGGATTTATGAAATTATAAACAGTTTGTTGAGGGGAGTAGTACATGTAAAATATATAAAACGAATGAAGTAAGAATAATCTATCCCCTGGACAAACATCACATGACTGATGTCAAGGTCACAAGGTAACTGGGAGTTCATTATTCCACTGAAATTCAAAGAAGTATGACTGCTGAAAATAACCCACAACCCACCCTTGAACCAAGAAATATAGGGTAAAGTAGATAACAATTGAACTATAATAAGGTAAGCCAAACAATAAATTATCTTTAAGGCGTATATCCCACCTTTATTTAATAAGAATCAATAGATAAGTAGTCTAATTAAGCTAATTAATGGATGTTTCTAAGTTAAGTAATGAAACATATCCCTTTAATCGGGCTAAATAAATTATCATTTAATTGTATTAATCAGGCTCCCTGATGGCAAACTGTTACAATCAGAATAAAGGTAAAATCAAAGGAGTCCCGACTTATGGAAGTACCTCAATATGTCAATGAATGGAGAAGGTCATCCACTGTTTAACAAAAACACAATCGTGTGTCTTAGTCCATGGTATGACTCGGGAATATGACAAATTATTACCACCTTGCCGGGCAAGTTCTAGGGATTTTAGTGCTAGTTTAGAAGGCGTTCATTTTACTATATCGAACCTGAGCAATATGTGACGTCATAGTGGGGGTCCAGAATGCATTTCAGACCGGTGTAAGAGGGTAGGAGGTCCTATTAATTTATGATCCTACTCTTCATTGATTATATCATTATGGTGACCTCGAGCTCTTCCCCTTATTATCTTATACACAATCAGGGCCAGTAAGGGCCTTTAAAAGGGGGACCATAATCCCTGGGGGACCATAATTTCTTTCACACCGGTCGAGAATGCATTTAACGACCGCCAATTTTCCCCGGGAAACTAGATATCGTTCATTGCGTAAGATTTTCTTGCCGTTTCAGTCCTGGTCATTAACGGTGGTAATAATCAGTCCTGGTCATTAACGGTGGTAATGATACTAAGAACGTCATTTCTGTGGGCAATATTTAGAGGTTATGTCACTATGACGTGAAATATTGGACCTTGGGCCTTCGGTCCTTTGTCCAATATTTCACTGTATTACATACCTAGCGAAGCATTTGTATGGAAGTCAATGGGAAAGTTAGCGAGCTATATCCACCGATATTGCCCGATTACCCCGATATAGCCCGCTTACCTCGTTTTGATATTAGATTTCTTTAATAACCATGATAATATCATGACGTCACGTCATTGATACAAAGTAACCATGGGAACAAAGGCATGTAATACATCAGTTATGTCACTATGACGTGAAATATGCCTTCGTTCTTGCCCAAATATAGAGCCTCCCAAGGTCGGCCTATATTGGGAGAACTCAGGCATATTTCACGTCATAGTGACATAACCTCTAAATATTGCCCGCAGAAATGACGTTATTGTACTATTCGTAGCATAACATAGCGCAGAAACATTTGAATCAGTGTACGTTTTCCATGTAACTGTATTGTGATTGTTTTTTTGTAATTACTTTAACATGTTTCTTCTTCTCTGAAATAAAAAAAATCAAATTAATAAATAAAAAAGAGATCCATATGTCTTTTTGGAGATACCGTTTGCTGAAAAAAATCGAGCTTTTGGGTCAAAATACCTCAGGTCTCTCATCTCAAAGGATCAAAAACTTATATTTTCGATATCTTCAAATCAAAATCCGGACTTATTCCCTGACTTGTCCTTTACCTACATGGATTCAATTGTGCGTTTCTGTATTTTAGATAAAGAATTGCGGCAAGCATTTCACGGGATGGACAAGGGGCTGGGTAAGATGTGACATTTGCCAGTGCGATTGCTATAAAGAATGTGGCAGTAACGAGAAATGTCGCATTGCATCTGGTAACACCGTGAGACGTGTCTACATTGAACCCGACCTAAACAGCGGATCTTGCACACGTGAGTTTACACATTCTCTTGCTGTTCAGCAATTTGCATGTATTTTAGTGGACTATACCGAAACAGGATCCACATCGCATGGATCCACAAACATGTACATACTGTCTGCAGTAGTCTTTGTTGCGATCACAATTTTGTAAATAACAAATAATTACATACAATATGACCAACGAGCAAAGCTTTCGATTAATATAACTTTTTACCTGAAAAACATATTTTGAAAATAAAATACACATCTAAACATTAATTCTATTCAAGATTTATAGTAACAACCTTTAATGCATTTTAGAAACATGCGGAGAGGTACCAAACCATAGAAACAAATTTGGTTGCGCGGAAATAAAGAACTGCCATACAAAAGAAAGTGGTTGGACGAGAGGATTCGTCTCCTGTGATATCTGTGAATGCGACTGTGTTCTGCCCACTCTTGATCCATTCGATTTAGAACCTGGTATACAGTATCCGGGACGATGTGGTAAGATAATTATAGAGGGTTTTATTTGCTTATCTTATGGTTACTGTTTAGAAATGTACAGTGTGTGCCGAAAGAAACGCAACAAACAATAAAATCGTATAACCACAAAACCATTGACCCATAGTTGGCTGAATAATCATTCTTTTTCATAGTGGGTCAAAATCACTTTTGGACCCACGTTTTTAACACTGAAAAAGTCGGTGCATGGGCCCGGTGTTATTAAAAAAGTTCCTGATCTGAGAATCACCAATAGGCTTTTGTTTTCCGCTCGAAACCCACAGATGAGTCGAATCGCTCTGTATGACAATGAAAGATAAGCCCGTCTCTGTGTGCAAAGAAATGGTGGCCATGTGAAGGGGTATGAGATGTAATCTTGCATGGTTATGAATATGAACACTTAACCGTTTATGCCACACCTGTCACACCTTCTTCAAATGGGAACTGGGGCAGTGCACTGGTTTTTGAAATATCTGAAACTTGATATAAAATAGACAATTCTGGCTCATTGTGCAAAAGGAATTATTAGTTAGCCAACCAAGACAAAATGTAAATAAATGACATATCATTGAAAAGATAAATTTAGCCTCGTGCTACAATGAATTAAATCAATGCAGTCATCATATCACTGTTGCGTTTTGTGCCATGTTCAGTACCAGGTCACTGCGCTAAAATGTCTAAAACTTAATCCCGTAGCTATTTTTGACCACTGTGCAAAAACAATGATAATTCAGACAACCATGAACCGGAATTTTCATTAATGAACTATAGGGTATCATTAGCAAGTGCTATAAATATTAAAGGAATCTGTTTCATTTTTTGCGAGTATTCTCTAAATAAAAACATCATGCCAAAATATCCAATATCAACGGGAAGTCACTTATTTCAGTTTAAACTAAGCTGTTTTTCAAGCAGAAATGTATTTTTTCATCGATATCGCCTCTCATGACACAATTATTCAGTCATTTAATGCATGTCGAATGTAGTTCATTTTTGTTCATAAGACTCTACAGTAATAGGACTCAACTCTTGCTCATCTTCCACCTAACTCTTTCACCTTGAACAGTTCTCAATAGTAGGCTCATCGCTTATCACTTTAAGGCATCGTTTATCACTCTGAACGGAAATTTTGGACAGAACATATTTTGAAAACGGGGAAGAAAGAAACCAATCTATAAATCTGACACATAGACAAACTGTTAAAACTGATTGACAGAATGTGCCATCACCTAATATAAGGCACAAACGGTACGAGGGTCTCATTGCGCAGCTCTGATACTTGATTTTTTGACATGAATTTTTGATTTTGTCAATTCTCACATTATATGTAACTGATCTCTTTCATTTATACAACTTGCTAATGACGCCCTTAGGCTACTAACTACTGAGGAATAAAGAAACCTATTAGTTTTTTCCATTATATTATGTCTTATTAGTTCTTTGATTTTTACTTTATATATACGTATATATATTCTAATTCATTTTAATTTCTATTTCAGTTCCAAAATAACTTGTGACACGATGAGAATTTGACAAACATCATTCAACAATACTAACTGGACAATGTGCTAATATTAAGAACGATGAACAAATTATATCGATTTGTCTTTTGTAATATTTCTAGCATATCCATGATAACCAAAAGGTGTAAAATAAATTACCTCAATTGAAATTGGTGTTGAATTAATTAAATATACAATACAAGACACATCTCCAGGCAAAAGGGGAGAATTAAGAAGTATTCAAAGATAAAGCTCGGTGTCTGTCAAGGTGAACTTCCCTGGACAACGTCTTTTTTAAAACACGAACAGCATGTGTAGAAGGGTATTAGGTCATATCAATTTATGGTCCTACTCGCCATTGATTTATATGTTGACCTCTTTCCCTTAATTATCTTGTACACAATCAAGGCCGTAAAGAAGGGGACCATAATCACAGGGGGCTTTAATTTCTTTCACAGCGGGCTGTTCTCCGTCAATGGAATATTCAAATCACTTGTATCATTGGAAATCTTGTTTATAAGACAAAAAGAAGGTAAAATAAAGTGTTTAATACAGTATGTCCGACATCGTTGGCACTTTCTTGAATATTGAAAGAAGAATCTGTGTAGCAAAACTTCATATATCTACCTCTGGATGAACCTCATATCCAAAACCTCCCAGTACACAAGCCTTATTTATCCTATGGCCAGTAAAGTGAAATGTGAAAAAATTGTCAAATAAAAGATAAAATTGAAAAAAATAGAAAACTACTGGGTATAGGATAAAGCAGTGATTTACGATCGGTTTGGATATGGGGTTTATCCCTCGTGGGATATGCACATCTACATTCGGTCCCTACGGTTCCTCGGGTAGATATGCAGATCTCCCTCTGGATAAACCCCTTATTCAAAACCGCCACTACATAATCCTTATATATATACATACACGCTTAGCAAATCAATGATGAAGTTTCGACAAAATTTGACGGTTTGCTAAACCAAGGCAATCCAGACCAATTTGAAGAATGATAGATAATGACAGTGAATGAGTATCGTAAGTAAAATATATACTCCTCAAAAAAAGTTAAGGACCAGTGGTTTTCCTCATAGGTTTTACATGTAAACCCCCATATTTGTTTGAACGATTATATTCTAAACGGGGAACAAAAGAAATCCCAATAAAGTAAATAAATCTGTATCTTGATTCTATTCCCTATAAATTGATTGAGTATATTTTGCAAAGGTCAAGAAATACAGCTCTTATAATACTGGTAACCCTAAATGATGTAAAATATAAAGAACAGGTCCATTTAACAGACTATTGGTCCACTTAGACTTTTTCTGAAAAACTCATTCTTCCATTTACTTTTAAAACCAATTGCAAGTTGTAGATAAACCTTTCTTCTTGAGATGTGCGATTTCAAAAAGTGGCATAAGTTCTCCTTTGAAAAATTGGCAGTAAGAACCCTTATCACAAGGCTGTCTGAATATGGGTACACATTATGTTTACCATCAAAATATATAATATCAAAACTTATCATTATATAGAATTTAATATATGGAACATATGGCATACACGTATTCGGAGAAGAAAATTGACAAAATCTAGCGATATATGTAGTTTACCTATGCAAATCTAGAAAACATTGTCATTTTTCGTTCACTTTGTTATCAAGTTTTAGCATGGTGCTCATTCCCTTTCATTGAAAAGTTAACTGTCAGCCCTCACTCCCACAAAAAATATATTGAAACTGTATAATGCAGAAGTAGCTTCTCTGCAAATATCATTTTTGTGGGAGTTTGGGCTCGCCACTAAAACTTAACTTTTGTGATGAAAATAAGCCTGACTGGTTTATGTTTTCAATATGGCTGCTAACCTGGGCATGCATGTACACTACATAACTGCATGTACAGATTAGGCCATCCAAAATTAATTATACAGGGTGGGCCAAAAAATTTTGCAACTTTTTTAAAAGGCTAGAAAAGTATCATAATATGAAGGTATTGACATAAAAATCGATTTACAGAAAGTTTAGGATAGGCATATTTTACGATTCAAATATTTAAGATAATACTGACTTCTAATTTTTTTGACAGATCTTTGAATATCGATGGTAAATTGTCCATGTGTCCGAGATTTACTGTTTTTCCAAGAAAATGTGACTTTTTATGATTTTATGTGATCAACAATAACACATCCATTATGTTCACTAAATCTGCTACAATCTCTGATAACTGTTTATTCAATATACTAGGACAGTTTGATATCGGTATCTACTCACAATGGTATTATGTTATACTGTATCTATTAATTATTTATTAATCACATGTTCTTACATCCACCTTTCACCTTCGCTATCGCTCCCACACATTGGGGAAGGGTCACTTTGGAATACCTGGAGGATGATACCTCTAGATATATTAGTGGCTATAAATGGCTGCCCAATACACCAAATGCCAACCCCTGTGACTATCACACATGGAGGCACCTAGAGCAGTTTATTGCAGTTAATGGTAATCCTCACACACTATTGATCATTTAAAAGAGGTTAGGAGACGTGGAAAAAGTACCACAAGAATCGCTGGATGGCGCCACTGCAGTTACAACCTTGTGTCTGTGTGATAGTGAAGGTAAAAGGCGGATGCACGGGACATTTTTTAAATAAATAATAATAGATACAGTATAAAATAATACCATAGTAGATACTTATTATAAAACTGTACTAGCCATTAGTTAAAAAATTAAAGATTGTAGCAGATTTATAGAACATAATGAATGTGTTATTGTTAATCACATAAAATCATAGAAATTCACATTTTCTAGGAAAAATGGTAAATCTTGGACACATTAACAATTTACCACTGATATTCAAAGATCTGTTGAAAAAATTTGAAGTCAGTATTAGCTTAAATATTCGAATGGTAAAATATGCCTATCCTAAAGTTTCTGTCTATGAATTTTTATGTCAATACCTTAATGTTATGATCCTTTTCAAGCCTTTTAAAAAAG